ACGCCTACAGTTACATTTGATTTAATTTTCCATGTCAGTTCCACGAACTTGCCGTAAAGCCAAGCGCACAACGCATGAAAAACTAATCAAAACATCGCTCGTCCTGGGACCCACTTGCGCCCGGACCCTTCACATTGACCACGTGTCCATCCAGCCAGCATGCCATCGGCCATTTGCTGCCTGACACATGCACATGTCCTTGCGACTCTAATCCCAGAGTGAAAGTTTATTTGGCTTTTTACCATTTCCTTGGCAAAGTCAAATAGTTTAAAATGTGTCACTAGTTTTGCCATTTGTTTATATATAAATAAATATATATGTATATATTTATACCCTGAACCCATTGAAAATGGGAAATCAGGGTATAATGGTTTTGTGAAAAAGTATGTAACGGGCAGAAGGAGGCGTGGCAGACCCCACAAAGTATATATATTCTTGATCAGCGTGACGAGCTGAGTCGATATAGCCCTGTCCGTCTGTCCGTCCGTCCGTCCGTCCGTCCGTCCGTCCGTCCGTATGAGTGCGTCGATCTCAGAAGTTATAAGAGCTAGAGAGCTGAAATNCAGAATGATTAGAATATCAGATTAGAGGGTTCAGGGTATCTCCTAGTCGAGCAGTCTCGACTAGAGCTTTCTTACTTGTTTTATTTTATTTTATTTTATTTTATTTTATTTTTTCCTTATTTAGTTTTTACTCGAATCGCAAAAATATTATATGTTTGTTATGTTTGCGCTCAGAGCTACAGAACTTTTCGAGCTGGACGAGTTCTGTGTTTTAGACATTGAGATTGAAATGTCATCAGAAATAATAAAAATACATGCAAATCCTTGGCTGTGAAATGCAAATGCAAGATGAAAAGTTCACACAATCGATATGGAACTTAATTGTATCTCACAACTCACAAATATGGCTAACAAGTGAAGTAAAGTTTAAAAGCTTTAACTATTTTTCTATATATGTGTATAATTAATATATGTAATCTATATGTGTCTGTCATTAGCTAATGTAGTTATTATTAAATATCTATATTTAAGATTGACAATATAAGTAATAATAAATCATATAAAGAAATTGTTAATAAATATCTAAAAACAGTCTAAACTCTTAACTATGTCTATTAAAAATTGTCTTTAAACTAGGAACTAAATAATTTATTCATAATACCAAACCTCTGGCTCTTTCTCTCAACTGTTTAAAGTCTTTAATTATTAATAAAAAAAGAAACCTGAGCATTTCAGCATTTTCAAGAATTTCAGCTTTTAGCTGTCTTAAAACAAAGACCTCAAAGCTGAAGCAGCCGCAGAGCACTGATGACCGTAAACCAAGCTGTAGACCCAGTCCCTGGGATATATTTGTTTTATTTTCTATTTTCTATTTTTATTTTTTGTAGTGCTTCTTTAAGCTCCAAACATTTTGCTTAGTTTGGCAAAAACACGCAGCGACCATTTTTCATATTTTCATTTATAAATTTATTATAAAGCCAGCAGCAGCAGCAGCAGCAGTGAGCGCAACAGCTACTCTTTGCTGGTGGATGGGCTTAATAGCTACCATTTGCCCCTGCCACCGCTCCCATGTCTGCCCCAACTACAACTCCTGCCCATGTCCCTGATGTTGCCACTCCTGCTGCCACACAGCTCGGCCCACTCTAACAGTGCTCTTGGCTGCGGTTTAGAGCAACGGCTACTTTGGCATTTATTTTAAATTATAGTTCGCAGTAATAACTAATGCTCAAAGAGCAGTTGCTGCTGTTGTTGTTGTTTTTGTTGTTTATATTCTTGTTGTTGGCTGCTGAAAGTTGGTTTGGTTGTTGTCGCTGCCATGCACAGAAATTATAGACATTTTGGTCTGTGTGGATGTGTGTGTGTGTGTGTTTAGTTTTCAGCCGTTTAATGACAGTATTTGCCAGCTATGCCATACTTCTATGGCAGCTTGACATGAGATTCCAATCGCTTTTGGAGCGTTGAGGGGCTTTCAATTAAATTTGCTGCAAAGTGAATGTGGATTAAACAGTTTGACAAGTCATCTGCATAATTATGAAAACCAGTTGACATTTTTGCAGCCACTAATTGAAAATTCCTCAAGTCAAGCCAATGCTGTCAAACAGCTGGCAAGTTTCTCGCCAATTTCCATGCAACAGCGACACAACACAGTGCCAATCGATGTGTGTGTGTGAGTGTGAGTGTGTATATGTTCGTGTGTGGGTTCTGTGTAGTGTGAACGTATTTTCACCATTATGGCAAGCGCCCCTTTGGGGCCGACTAATGGCCATCACGCCCCCTGAAACACTCCCCAACACAAAACGTCAGTAAATATGAATGAGTTCCAGTTAATGAAATATTGAAATATGAATAGACAAACTCGCCTTCCTACACTCCAAAGCAATCATATGTCCATCAAGCACAACTTTGTCTGTCAGAGTCGACAGCAAAATGAGCTCAGCTCAGGCGCATGAGCAGGACTAAGAAATACCCTGCAATGCAGCTAACATATATATAACTTCAACTTTGCACAGATATGCGTGATTCTAATTAAAATAATCAGAAACGAATACTTATAAAAATTACTCATATAAATGGAAATAAATTTCTCTTACAAATAGGCTAAAGCTGTGTTCTATATACCTTTCTTTATCCAACTTTTTAGGGTAGTGGCAGAAAAAAAAAATTTAATTGTAAGCTTGCGGAGGAAATAAAGCCTTTACCGCGGAGGGACTTTTACCCATCAGAAAAAAAAAGAAATGTAACCCGAAACAAACAAAAATTACAACGCTTAATTATGAAAAGTGTTTTTTTTTTTTCTCTCCTCCATCAGTTCGTCGAGGAAAATGAGTAAAAATGTGGAAAACACACGAAACGAGTTAATGAGCGAAATTATAATGAAGTTTTTCGCTTAGCTGGGGTGTTCGACGAGTACCGCTAGCCACCCTTGTGGCGCCAGCATGTGGGTCAGAGCTGTTCGGGTAGCTGCTGCCTGTAATGGGGCTAATCAAATATTTGACATTTGTTTTGGGCGGCGCTGCCGTTGAGCTCAACTTGTCTACTCCAAAACTCATTAGAATCGCTGTGCGTGGGCCTGGGCAGAGAGCCCCTCATTGCTAAGATGAACAATCGCAAGGGCACAAGGGCAGACGGCCTGGGCAGTCAGCCGTGCAGCTTGCAGCGAAATATTTCATTAAATTGCTTAACATTGCAACTGCAATCCAAGTAACCAACAGCCAACAGCCAACATCAACAGCCACATTAACAATGACGCCAACACCATAAAAAAGGCAAAGGAAAGCATAATATGAGCACAAATTACCTGTTTCATAGCTTTGGTGAAATTACAAATATTTAGCTTTTATCTAATATTTTTAAGGCTACGAAAACACGTTTGCGAATATTTTTTTTAAACTTCGCTTATAATCACTGAAGAAAAGTAATATAATACATACAAAAATAAATATATATATATATAACTTTTTTGTTTTTACATTAGAAACGGTTAATATCAAATGATAAACTGGGGCTTGATGAAAATTAAATAAAAAGGAAATTTATATAGAGCAGAAAACAAGAATCAATACCTAATTCTTATGAAAAGTATACAAACAATTTGTAAAAGCCAAAAATAGTCGAGTCCGGGTAATTCAAAATGGCAAGGGGATCAGTTTTTCTCCGATTTACAGAGAAATTTAAACTATCGAGCATTATCGATAACGATTTTTTTTCAAGGGGATAGAAATTTTTGAACTTACAGCGATTTTCGATTTAGCGGGGTAAAACTATCGTAAAACAGTAATGTTATTATTTTACTTTAATATCATAATATATTTTATATAATATGTATGAAAAGTAAGAATATCGATTATTTAATTGCTACATAGTGTGTATTCTTAGGAATTTCTATTTTCATGACATGGATGTGTATATATATGTGTATATAGTTGAATAGATATAAAGTGAATCCCATAGATACTTTTAATATACTATATAAGATACACTTATATCCTTATACCTATGTAATGACATCAATATGTAAATTTTTATACGCATAGAAATCGTCAACTATCTAAAAGAGAAAATCATTTAAATGAAAATATACAAAATCTTGATTTTTTATTTGATATTTTTTTTTTTTTGTTTAGCTTGGTGGAAAACAACATTGTGAACCATCAGCTAATGTACAGCTGCTTCCATATTGACGTAGATTGGGGGTCGAACAACCTTCATTAATGTTCTTGATAGTCTGAATTGTAGATGCCGTGGGGAATTAAAGTGTAAACGCGTGCACACAAACGAACGGAGGAAAATGAAAAAGACAAAAACGGAAGCGGAAATGTTTAATGCGGGTTTGCTAGCACCGAGGACGATGCGTTGACGTGTCCAACTCGCCGGCCGGCTAGCCGGCTGCGTGGCTGCCTGGATGACCAGTGTAAAACGTAGGTCGAGCCTTGGAGCGAGAACAAAGCCGAGACCATGTCCATGTGAGTTACGCAGTAACGAAAGCCGATAAATATTTATTTGCATGTATATGTGAGTCTGTGTGTGTGTGTGTGATGCGTATGTACTTAAGTGTGCGTGTGTGTATATGTTAATTAAGAATTTGCAGCAGGCTGGCAGACGATTAAATGTGTACGAAAATGTGCCGCCCGGCATCCATTGACCCCACCGCACAACAGCCGCGTGCTGTCCATTGCAATCGTTGTGCTGGACACGCAAAGGACGACCATTAGTTCCGGCGAGGGGGCAAGGGTTGGCGTCGATAATCGAATGAATTAATGGAACACGCAAATGAAATAAAAATCGGCAGCGCAAGCGATTCATTTGGATAAATCTCTTAGCTGCCAATGACTACAAAGAGAAAAAAAAACATTCACAACAGTGTGTACGGAGTTCAGTTTCTACCGAACGGAATCCTGCCATAATAAAAAACAGAAATATCATAGATCTACCTTAATCAGTATTTCTTCATCTTCTAATTAGACTCGAATTCATGTCAAGCACGTTCGTATGTAAATATAATTTATTTAGTTTTCACTTTCTTCGTCTTTTTAGCCTTTGAAACATTTTTCGGCTTTCCGGCCAACTTTTTACACAAACATATGGCGATTTTTCTAAAGGCGAACCAACTTACAGCTATGAGACATAAGAGCAATGCATAAATATCTAGATTATTGGCTGCTATGAAACTCATGTGGACGAGGGGACTCTGCAAATGGGCTGCTCCATGATGCCTTAGAACATATTCAATCCAATAGAGCACGGTTTGACGAGCTGTCAATGGGCGATCACGGAAGAGCTGGGAGAATGCTTTTACATTTTCCGTATATTGGGGATTCTCGAGAACTTCTTTGATGTTATCATGGAAGGGCTTCTCTTCCAGGGTTAATAAGCTCATACTCAAACCAAATCCATCCTTAACCATCTTATCAGCATTAGCGGGTTGATCGCCAAAGACAGGCAGAGAGAGCATAGGCTTTCCGTGAAACTGAGATTCCGTGATGCCACCTCTTCCAGCATGATTTATGAAGAGCTTAATATTGGGATGGGCTAGAATATCATCTTGTGGTAGCCACTTGGAGTAGAGAATATTATCCGATTTTCCAGGAGTTTTATCCAGATCCTCCCACTTCCAGATAACTTTGTGCTTCAGCTTGGACAGCTCATTGAACATCTTTTGAACTGTATCCGGCTTCAAAAATGCTCCTTTCAAATTTGAGCCTAGACTAAGAAGGATTGCTCCGTGTGTAGCATTTTGCAAAAAGTCAGCAATCGGTTTTGGCAAGGGATCGGGTGTTTCCTTAATTTGAATGCCTCCAACTTCAATCGCTCCCGGGAAATTGGGTCGAATGGGACCTTCACTAATGCCATGAGAATTGAATAGGACAAGGGATATATTTTTGTAGAGATCTTCATATTTTGGCATAGTTGGATCATTTCCAAAGATCTCCCTGCGAAAAGTTCCAAAAGCTAAAAAATTGTTTAGAGCACTTGTTGGGTTCTCACTTACTCGTAATATTTTGCATTATCCATGTCCATAAGGTACATAAATGTTTTAAATGCACTAAGTAATATGTAATTTTTTAAGCGCTGTCCAAAGCTCATTGTCTGACCTTTTTCGACGGAAACACCCATGGTCGGAACATAGGATTGGATTTGAATTTCCCCGAGCATGGGATCGAATAGCTCTGATTGGAACATTGAAGTTACTATCACCACTGGCACCTTCAGCTTCTGAGCGATGCCTATTTGAAAGGTATTGAAGAAGTAGCCGACCATCACGAGATCGAACTTGTTATCCTTGTTCTCGTACAGATCTCGGACACGTGGATCTTTCATGACATCGCGACTCTTGTCAAACATTGCCAACAATTCTTTCCGCATGCGGAATACAGCCGCAATAAGATCAGAGTTGTCTCTCTCAACCATTCCGGCTATGCTAGCCTCCTTGGCTTTGTTCTCCTCCTCGGTGAGTGGCACGTGTATAAGGTTTATATTCTTGTGGGTCACATGAGGTATCAGAGATGTGATCACCGTGACATTATGTCCGTTCTCAGCCAACACCTTGGCCATTGAAATTTCCACAATCAGATGAGATGGAGAGGGACAGCTAAATACTGCTAGAATGTTTGCCCCACGCGATCCATTGATAAAGAAAGCCGCGAGAAGCGAGAGCAATAGAAACTTTAGCGACATGTTCCCGGCTAGAATATTCGTCGCTAACTGAACTACACTTGCTGTAGGCTAGGTATTATTATGGCTAACTAAGTTGCTTAGCTCACAGTGATATGACAGTTATTAGCGATATGGTCGGCTATCAATGATATGTGCCACTGCTTGGCCCCGCACAAAAATTTGTAATCTGCAGTCTATGCGCTAACTGACGATCGCTCGTAGCGCGCAGTATTATAGTTTGATAAGCGATAGTGCTAACAACCATAGTGGATAGAGCAATCTGTTTTCAATATGCCTCTAAATAATACTTTTATCATCCGTAGAGCTGTTGTTTCAAATATTTAAGGAGTATCTTCATAGACTTTGGAATGATATACGTTTAGATTCCTTTATCAATAATTTACCATTAAAAGTTAAATCGCTTCTATAATAGAAATTTCAAATGTCCGAAATTTACTCATAATCCCAAGCTTAAACCTTAAAATAGGAAATCTACTCTAAATAGTTTCTTGATTATGTATGAAATGTTTATTATCTTAATTCATATACTTTTCAGTTTCTTTGGCTTAGCAATCGTGCCACTTTTCCATTTTCCACTAATATTTTCATACACAAACTTAAGTCCTAACTTCAAGAGAAACCAGATAACAATTACGAAGGAAATTAGCAATGCATAAATATCTAAATTATTGGCTGCTATGAAGCTCATATGGACGAGGGGACTCTGCAAATGGGCTGCTCCATGATGCCTCAGAACATATTCAATCCAATAGAGCACGGTTTGACGAGCTGTCAATGGGCGATCACGGAAGAGCTGGGAGAATGCTTTTACMTTTTCCGTATATTGGGGATTCTCGAGAACTTCTTTGATGTTATCATGGAAGGGCTTCTCTTCCAGGGTTAATAAGCTCATACTCAAACCAAATCCATCCTTAACCATCTTAGCAGCATTACCGGGCTGATCGGCAAACACTGGCAAAGAGAGCATAGGCTTTCCGTGAAACTGAGATTCCGTGATGCCGCCTCTTCCAGCGTGATTTATGAAGAGCTTAATATTGGGATGGGCTAGAATATCATCTTGTGGCAGCCACTTGGAGTAGAGAATATTATCCGATTTTCCAGGAGTTTTATCCAGATCCTCCCACTTCCAGATAACTTTCTGTTTCAGCTTGGACAGCACATTAAACATTTTTGCAATTGTCTCGGGTTTTACATAGGCTCCCTTTACATGGGTGCCCAGGCTAAGAAGGATTGCTCCGTGTGTAGCATTTTGCAAAAAGTCAGCAATCGGTTTTGGCAAGGGATCGGGTGTTTCCTTAATTTGAATGCCTCCAACTTCAATCGCTGCTGGGAAATTGGGTCGAATGGGGCCTTCACTAAGGCTATGCGAATTGAAGAGGACAAGTGACACATTTTTGTTGAGCTCCTCATATTTTGGCATAGTCGGATCATCGCCATAGAGTTTCCTGCAAGAATTTCAATAGTTCAATGGCTCAAATATTTCCGCTGACATCTGTGTGTTTCGACTTACTCGTAATATCTAGCATTATCCATGTCAATAAGACACCTAATTGTTTCGATCATACTGATTGTCTGGTAATTTTTTATTCGTTGCAATAAGCTCATTACTTGACCTTTTTCGATGGAATGAAACATTGATGGAACATAGGATTGCGTTGGTATACCTCCAAGCATTGAGTCGAATATTTTCGATGGGAACATTGACGTCGCCACCACCACTGGTACCTTCAGCTTCTGAGCGATGCCGATTTGAAAGTTGTTAAAGCAGAAACCGACCATCACGAGATCGAATTTGTTATCCTTGTTCTCGTACAGATCTCGAACGCGTTGATTTTGCATGACATTAAAGTTGATGCTATTCACGATATAAATTTCATTCCTCATGTGAAAAAGAGCTGTAATCAGATTCGAATTATCTCTCTCAGTCATGTTGGCTATGCTCGCTTCATGTGCTGCGTGCTCCTTCTCAGTCAGAGGCACGTATATATGGTTGAGATTCCTGTGAGTTACATGAGGCTTCAAAGATGTGACCACCGTGACATTATGGCCATTCTCAGCCAACACTTTGGCCATTGACATTTCCACAATCAAATGCGAAGGAGCAGGAAAACTAAATATTGCCAGAATGTTTGCTCCATGTGATCCTTTGATAAGGAGAACCGCGAGACACGAAAGGAATAGAGTCTTAGAAGACATGTCGACGGCTTGAAAATTCACCGTATACTGAGCATAAAACTTTCCGGCGCTATGGGTTAAATATTATTTAGGTCAGAGTGCAAAGAAAAGATAACTGGAAAATCTGCCCGAATTTTGAGAAAATCCAATTAGTTCAGCTGATATTTTAAACAAGTGTTTGTCCACAAGCAAAACAAACTGTTCGAAACGCCGTCACGCTGTTTTCCAATAAGTTGATAAGACTCAAATTTGAATATGAAATTCACAAGGTTTTGCATTATTTTAGGGTAATCTATCTATTTATGAAGCTGCAATTTGTGCCCACTAAAATATCTTTGAAGAAATCGGGTAAACCAGCCGTAAAATATTCATTCATGACCATGGGCAATTCGTACATTATTTCGTCTTATCGGTCAAGTTCGGCACATGGCCTTATCAGTGCCAATTCATGCGATGTGTCTTGGTGTTCAGTAAGAGGCTTAGCTAAACATTTGTAGCACTTGCAGTAGCTGAGTTTATCAGCAAAAGTAGTCTGAGCACTTCGCATTTACTAATACATATGTATGTCTGTCGTCAAGGGGTTTTTGGAAAGATAATGGCAATTGTCGATCCAGCTGCTACAGCAACATTGTATACAATCTTTTATTAAACAGCGAGAAATTAGATTTATTATTGGTGAAATGAGCGTATTTGAAAATCTTGAACATGGATATTCAAAGAAAGTAAACTATATTATGATTATTGTTGGACTGGACATAGGCTGTAGTCCTAAGGATTTTGAGTATATGTATATTGATAGACAAGAGACAATTTATATTATTTGCAGCATTGTTTATAAGCGCTGAATTTGAGTTTAGTCTGAACGAATAAGAGAGCCATGAAAGTTTTATTCTGAAATATTTATTTTGGGCCTGTTTTTTAGCTATTACATAAAACGAAATTATTATTGCGACTGAGAAACTGCAAGCTGTAAGTATCAGGAAATTAGGTACGCATATATAAATAATAACAGCGTAAGTAATTCATAAACAATATTTATCACAAAGCTATCATTAGCATATATTTATTATATCCATCCTACACTTCCCTAATAGTTTTCAAGTGTAAAAACTTACATATGAATTGCCCAGCTGCTGCAAAGCTTCCTTTTCCCCATATCCTTCCCTCAAGGCAGGTGACGCTAGTGCTGAAATTCTTGGCAACTTTATTACATAAATTCGCAAAATACTTTTGCACGTTGCAATGCTGCTGTCTGGGCTTACATTTCCCATACACTTACACCACAGTATAATTTGTAAAAAAAAAAAAACAAAACAAAAAACAAGTGGAGAAATTCTTCAAACTATCCAACGTGCGCAATGAAAACAAAATACCATTTTGCAATAAGCAAATTTCAATTGAAATAGCAAAACGGCAAAAGGCATGCTCAGAGCGAGCCCCCAGTCGTCAGCTACCAGCCGCCAGCCCCGATTCCCCATTGCTCTTGCTCCTGTGCCTGCTCCACCTAACCACTCTCAAACCGTTCGACCAACATGCTCGATGGAACGTAGACGAGATTTCGGGCTATTTTTGCAAGCAAAAAGGTAGTCAAAAAATATTTCTGAACGAGGTCAAGTCGAAGATTAAATGCGCTGATAGAAATCGTTTGAGAATTGGAGAAGTTAGTTAAATTTTATTTATATGGGACACCTATATTTTAATAAATTTATGATATACAAAATAAAAAAAAAATAAAAAATTAAAATTAAAAAAAATTGAAAGTAATATATTTGACAAAACAAACTTGAGAAGATATTCCAGATATATTTCCACATCAAGCTAAAAACTTTACAGGTCACTTTACAGGCCACTGTGAACGTGGATTTAAAAAAATCTTTAAAATATATACAAAATTACATACAAAATAAGCTAAGAGAAAGGCAAGAATTTTGAAGCCGAGAGATAAATTAAGTAAGTTATCCTATTATCATATTAAATACTCCGTATCCTATTCAACATATTAGTCTTTGTAAACTCAGTATATAGTCATCCACTATATATAATATATATCATTATTTATATTTTCCCCAAAACTTCGCTCATTCTTGACAACACTGCAACAATACTAACTGCAAGTGTATAAAAAAAAAAAAGCTACACTGTAAAGAATTTGAGAAATCTGTGCAATAGTTTCGTGCAGTTCGGGCGTATGGAAACGCCAATCGAAGAGACGAATCGATGGCAAGGATAGGTTCCGATGAGGAGCGAGCATGCTCCACGCGGATACACCAATAACATTTTCAGACAGCAACAACAAAAATGGGGAATTGCGTGAAATATTTCTGTAATGAATGCAATTGTATATGGAGAGTCTAAAACTAACATCGGTCCCATTTACCACTCGCTCAATCATTTTTATTAACTACTCGCCGGTGGGAGAGGCACCAATTTCATTACGTTTTTATACCATAACATTTCGAGTGCATATATGCGAAAATATGTGTAAAATTGTGTAAAATATAAAAATATCATGTGGCATTTTTCTGCCTCTTCTTCTTTTTCATTTAGTTTTAGAGCACTCTTAAAATATTTATAAATGAAAATATGATTTACACTTAGCTGGGCATTTTTATGGCCAGCAGCAAGTGGCTGTTAAAATAAAAAAAATAAAAAAAAAAAAACAAATGAAATAAAGAAATGGATAGAAAAAGAACAAATTAAGCTCTCTCTCTCTCTCTCTCTCTCTCTCTCTCTCTCTCTCTCTCTCTGTTGACTGATTCTGCAAACAATTTCATCTGATGAAATGTTATTTGCATGAGCAAACTGAACGAGAATAATAATTGAACGAGAATAATAATTGAAAGTGCCAATAGAATGAATATATATATCAAAAATGAAATATTATATGAATTTTGAAATATTACTAATTTTTATATTAAATGTGACAGAATT